TTTCCGGTATCTCTACCACACATTATTGTACATTTTCTCAAAAAATATATCAACCAATCATATTTGAGCCACATAACCTGAACGCGAAGCATATGCGATGCGAAAAAATGGTTGATTATCCGCATCTGACACTTACCATTCATGTGATTTGGTACTTACCAAAAACATCACAATTTTTTCGATCATGTGATCATCGATAAAATTCTTTAAGGTTCGTTTATATTAGAGTTAGTGTTTAAACTAATGTTAAAGATTAAGGGGCTATAGTAAAATTACCCAAGGAATTTTTTTGTTAGTGCATGAAGGGCTGTTTCTTAGGCAAAATATTGAAATAAAGACGATTTTTACGGTTGTTTTGAATTTTTCTGATCGCGTGACGTTACACTAAATCAAGATTCGTCATTGGCCAATTTTACCTATCATCACGTGATCGAAAAATTTCATAGTAAATTTGGGGTAGTTCTTACCAAATATAAACCAACCAATCAAAGCTAATCTAACTCTAATGGTAAGTGCAAAATCACGTGAACTATTAAATGGTTGGTAGGTAAGTGTCCGGAGACTTTCCCCGGGAAATTAATGCACCATGCATAAATTTTATAGATAGATGTTACACGAATATGCAATGTCCGAAATTGTGTAACATTTCAATTTTTAATAGAATAGAATATAGATAGGTAGATAGATGTTCAATAAGCAATTATAGAAAAGGTATTTTTCTATAACAGTCTCTAGTAGAAATTTCTGAGTAATTTAGATGAGACCGTTAGGGACCGAACAGTGTGAAGAGAATTTTATTGATCGGTCCCATCTAGATTACTCAGAAACTAATGCAAATACCAATAAACTTTTTATTAGAGACTGTTATAGAGAAATAACTTTTCTATACCTTCATTTATTGAATGAATACTAGTTAAATACCAATTTTTTACAAATCTTGCTCAAAGTCGGCTGACATTTGCCGCGGGGCGATTTACATCCCTAACTATAACATTATTTCTAACTGATTAAAACCTATAATATACCCGGGATACATTACAGGGCAAAGTGTAGTAACCGGAAGATTTCTGCTTTAATGTAAATCATTGGTTAACAGGCCCAGTTCTCTTACATTCCACAAAAATTCTTAATCCTGGTACAGGCCCGGGTGGGTCTACTATTAGTGTATTAATGAAGTAGATACGTATAAAATATGAGCGGGAATTCTGGGATAACCGTAATAAGGTAGATTAAAAATTTTTAAATTAATCGTACATATACAATTGAAGTCAAGATAATCGATATTAAGCTAATGATAGTAAATTTAACTTTGTTAATCTCTATCAATTAGTCATTAATCTTCAAATAAGCTTACTTGGATCTAAGCTTCAATCTTAACTTCTTACAAATTTCATTACACTCATGATTTGCCAAGAAACACTTATCAATTCCTTCACGGCCTAAATTTGTACGCCCAAATCTTAAATTATCAATACAGTGTATCGCCGGATCAGTTAATAAGAACTCGCCAGAAAGTTCAACACCTTGAAGATCACAAACTACTAAATATCCTCGGGTATGTTCATATGTAAAATGAGCAAATGCCTCAAGAGTAGGATGGAAATCTACAATTATTCCACTATTTGTATTAAACCGCTTAAACGTTGCGTTTTGAAGTTCTGGTTCTACAGTATAATATTGAGTACCACCAGGCATAGCGACACGCACAAGATCTACACCAAGGAAATTTACGGGACAAATATCCTTTCTTTTTGCAATTATATTAAATCTTCTACAAAGGTAGGTTGTCACCGCAGAAATTTCAACAGCTTCAAGATACTTTTCGAAAGGATTCACTGATGCTGTTTTAAAATACTGTTTCATGACCATTTGTTTGGGTGGATTGTCGTTAGAGATCTTAAGTGCATAATATGCATATTTTTCAATACCGGCTGAAAATGGTAGTGGTGCAATCTTGAAACAAAATTTTCTAGAAAAGAGTTGTTCTTTTCTAAAGGATCTTTGGTTTTTAAGTGCAGTTAGAGTTTTAGGAATGTAATAACACAAAGTTACTCCTGTTTGCAACGAAAGAGTATCCCAATCGGGTACATCAGGGTTTACATCAAGTTTTCGTC